ATTTTGTCTCGGAGTCATTAAGGATGCTAGGAGACTTTCTAATTGCATCACTAATCAGCCCGAGTTCCTGATTAACGGAAGAGGTGGCTCAATGCCGAGAAGTAAAATTTGAACCTCGGAGGTGTCGAGTTCAAATCCGAAACACAAGCGTCATTGCAACTAATTTATTTGAACGAGGAATCCACCCAGTTTAGCTCTGGTCGAATTCGTCAAAAAACAGGTAATACGTGAAAGGCTTCAGAACAGTAGAAACGCCGTGATGTTCAGGTGTGGCGACAGATTGGCCTAGGCACTACTGTGCTGTCTACAAGAGAATTGCGCCCTATCGAGCAAATTCCAGTAGTGTTAATTAAGATCAGTGTGACTTCGTGTAAAGCAAAGTTGCAGTTATACACCTTCGATGCAACTGGGCTATGGCGAAACGTCGTCATACTTGAATCTTGATGAAATTCATGGCAAGCTTGGTGAGGGGTAATGCAACGAACGAGTGTGGGATATTCGGTGCCGTGAGATTGCACAGAAATCACTTGGTCTAGCACGTGCCTTAGTATATCATTGTGAAGAACACAGATTACTGAATAAGCTTGTTTCAATGATCCCTTTTCCACGATGAAGTCGTATATGCTTACTTTATTAAATTTAACAGTTATATAGAACATCTGCAGCTTGTAGAAACAGGAACAATGTTAATTCAAATGTGTTGTTTCTATTTTCCCTAACTTATGAAGCAGAATTTGGCTCTGACTTGTACGCTGCTCCCCAAAAGTTGGGTGATAATTTCTGTATGTTTCCTTTTAAAATGCAGTGTTGATTTGACACACCGTTCATCTGTTGAGTGGTATTTGACTACCAGTGTTTCAGGTCATATTTTGAGGTAGGAGGGCTGCTGTCGATCCGCGGTGTCTGCGTCATATTCTGCAGTGTTGCGTGATGTTACTTAATTTACATGGAAAGGATTGTTTAGATTGTTGCTTCAGAATTTTTACGGTAGCAAGTCTGTTTATCCGTAGCCTGTTTTTCATGAGATTTTCAGGTACTCAATTGCTTATAAAATTTTATTGTGTACCCCAGTATTAACTAATTATCACAGCACTCATGTGTATAATAATCTATGCAAACCAGTATGCATCGAGGGAATTTTGCTTTTTGTCGATGTAGAATATGTTCTATTTTATGAATGTAAAAACTACACCTTCATTAAGTCGCACTTTATTTTTAATCACGATAGCATTAGGAGGCGGAAAATAAGTGAATTAGACCTCGTGTTGTTCTTTCTCTGAGATCACCGAAGGGTAGCGATGATCAAATTTATTATACTGCGTTTGCAATGCTGTTATCGCTTTGCTTCAGCGAAGATACTGATTCTATTGTTAAAATGGCGACTTTCTTCCCAGGCATTAAAGCTGTATAATTCTAGCGGTAGTGTAAACAGAATTCGACTGAGCACTTCATATGCTGTTGTGCTCGCCATGTGGAGTATCAGGGTCAACGACCTGGTACCCAGATTAATGATGTCTGAAACTTTGGTTTCTCAGAACGATTTAGGCATTGTTGGTTTCTGCGGAGAAAATGTTATGCTCATCATCGCAAGCAGCCATTAACCGCTGCTTTAGGAAACGATGCTTGCCGGTCTCTGATCCGCCTGTGACCGTTTTTTGCTTCCCAGAGGAGAATGGTTTTGCGTAGGTGTCCATTCTCTCTCCGAATAATTCTTTAAAATCACGACAGATGCCGATCCCTGATTTCGTCACACAGCATTCTCAGGCCGGTTGTCTTCAAGATTTTTTCATTCTTTATTCGATGGAATCATCGTACTTTCAGGATGTTCCATAAATGGTCCAACAATTTTTTATGGCGCTTTAAAAACTTGATGTTTCAAGGCTGTACGTCAAGATTGAGAACGCTGAGTTCGAAGTCGAACTGAACTCATGCTAGACTTTGAGATATAGATCTTGATATACAGTTCGCGAGTTTGAGGAGTTTTTATGCAAATATGCTGAACAGTGTGAAACAGAAGTCCATCAATCAACATTGTTTCGACCGTAATCCTTGGTAGCAACCGTGGTTTAAGGTTGACAGAAAATCATTCAACTAATTACGCGCTCGCGCTGCATGCTGTAAATCATGCATTGTCTCATTGAGCGATATATGCTCTGGACTACGTTGCCACCGCTCAAAAGAATAATTATGATAACTACCTACACGACAGTGAATAATATATCAGCTTACTGTCGACTCAGTTATTGCATAGACGAAGGTAAATAATCGCGTGAATGAATCAGCTACTATTTTTATTAAACTCAACTACGGCCTTAATTAATGGACGCTGATGCAGCTTTCAACTTCCGCACGGTAATTTGCCCTACTGCACATGCAACAAAATTAACCGTTGTTACATAGAGTGCAACAACAAGGCATTTAAGGTTCTTTATACCGTAATGCTGTGTTCTTCGGGCAGTAGGCTTCCGTCGATATTTCCCGGTAGTAAACGTCGAACGTTTCTGCTGTATAGTTTTTGGGCTATGCTGATTCATGGGAAAGTTTCGTAAACCCTTAGTTAACGTCATAATTTATCCGATAAACAGTTTTCCATGCATGAAGCGGTAGTTCCAATCCTTTATACTGGTATTCCGTCGTCGCAAGGACAGGGCGTTAATTCCAGGCCATTTTTTAGGGCGGGAGACTAATCGAACAAGGCTTTTAGTGGCTGGCTCTCTTTGAAATTTCCCTCGGGACAGCAGACATTGGAACGTCTCATAGGACCAAACGAATAATTTTAAGTATATGAGAATGAAAATTCTTAAACTTTTCTAAAACTTTGAATTGGTACTGTATGTAGCTTTCGTTAAAGGAGAGATATTTTGAAGGCTAATCAGCCAATTTTCGAAATTAGAACTGGCGATTTTGGACAATCCAAGCATTGATTTCGCCTACTAAATTTCAAAAGTCAAATTTCTGATATCAGCCTGTACGTTGTTCTACGAATTTCTTCCCTGGCTATATGAAACCACTTCTGTGGCCAGTCTCCTGATCAGAGGCTAACCATACATATGCTGAAAAATGCTACACGGGGATATATTTGTGCTGCCATGTGAATGTATTTACAGGTAGCATTATAAATGTATAATATAGTAAATATTCATGATGCATATACGCCATGGAAGTCAGAAATTTGACTTTCTTTCCTCTTGTGTAAATGAGTTGACCATGCTGCGCTGCTGTTTGTTGTAGCTATCACACTGAGCGGTTTGCATTAGTACGATTTATGTTAGTAATGACCACTGAATTCTCATCCCTATATTACTATAAATATACGGTCTTCAACTTATGATTATTATTCTGCTACTAGATCTGTTAAAGTGATTTTTCCCATAAGAGGACATTTCCGACAGAATGAGCGTAAGTTGACATGATCATACTATGACACCGTACCCTGCTTAGCATTGGTATTTGCTGAGAAACAGTTTCCTACGCCCTGACAGGCTGCATGGAGGTCTAACAGGTAAATAACTTGCTTAAAGGGATTAGCATGCTAATATCTACGACGCGTCTACCACACTGCCTGTTTTTAACACTTTTTAATTGCGGTACCGATCGAAGTGTAGTAAAGGAACTGATGTAAAGTTCGCTACTCCTGTAAGCGGATTTAATCACATAACTGAAATTTAGATTGAGTGTATCAAGTTAATTTAAAGAGTTAAGATGGGACTGGTCATTAGCCAGAAGCAGGGTAAAACGATTCATAGACAATAAGACAAATGTTCCCACTTATTTTTAATTAAAAATTGAGAAATTCTATTTCAGCTGATTCGGCATCGGCCATCGAATAATACCGAAGATTTGAAAAATCCGTTTGCTTTACATCGGACAAAACTGATAGTTTTAAGTGGCGGCCTGTTAAAAGCGTCATGAGGGAAGGTGTGCAATGGATGTTCATGATTGGCAGTTTTTTCGCCAAGATTATCAGTTTTCAAATGACAAAGTAATGTTTTAATAGCCTATGAGAATGGTTATGGTTTATGAGAATCCTCGTCTCTCGTCTCACAAGAGTCTCAAGATCTAATTTAACGTGGTAAACTATGATTTGCAACCAACGGTTGCAACAGTTAGGCTGAAGCAGCTCGCAGAAGTTGAAGAAAAACGGAAAAAGAAAATATGTTTTATACGCATATTTTCGGCCGACAAAGTGACATATGATCATGCAGTGTCAACTTCCTCAGGTCATTCTTGAAAGCACAGTTCAGTGTATTGCTACGTTTACAGGATATTGATTTATCTGGAATTGTTTTTACTGGTTGAAGCAATTCCGTGCAATTAAGCGAGAGTGAAAAATTAGAGGCATAAAGTTTCAAATAAGTAGTTTATCGTATCAGATTATATGCAGCAAACGTTATGCTTTGTGTCAAATATTGTT